GGTTGCCGTCTCACGCCGTACGCTGTCCGCCGTCCATCTCTTTCGAGCATAAATCATAAGCGTTCTCGCGATGCTGTACTCCAAGCCTGCCGTCCGTTAAAGTCTGTCGTTGTTGTCGAACGCTACACATAAATGAGTGGTGTACAGTGACGGGGTACGTACGCGTACACGTGTGTGCGTGAGTACGTACGCACGTACGTGCGTGCGTGCGTGCGTGTGTGGGTGCAAGCGTGCGTGCGTGCGTGCGTACAATGTGTGTGTACATGCGTGCGTACATGCGTCTGTACGAAGCCGTATACATGCGTGTGACATGCGTGCGTACGTATGCACGTACATGTGTGCGTGCGTGTGTGCGTTATTTGTTCATTTGTTCATATCTTGCATGACCCGCGAAGTGTGTACTTTACAGGCGTATCGTGTATCGTGCACGTTACGCCGAGTGACCGAATCGTTACTTCTCTTTATCCCATTTTCTTATTCTCTCTTTCGGATTCTCCATCCGTCTCTCTCTTTTTTTATCTCTAACCTAACTTAACCTTCCTTCCTCGGCTCGAGCGCTCGGTAAATTAAATCGTGGCACACGCGACAAATTATCTGTATTCCTCATCAAATGGAATTCCGCACCGGCCACTCGGAGTAACGCATTATTGTTCTACTGGGGGGAGGGGTCAGCGTACTTAAAAGAAACGTGATTTTGATCTTTTCCTCCCTCTTCTGCTCGCCCGTTCGTCCTCGCGCAGCCATGGCCTCTTCTAACCGTGGCATCCAGATTGGCTCCGGCTGGTTCCAGACCAAGATTAATCTTAGGCCGCAACATCGGGGCGTTCACCTCGTTACCGAGGAAATCCTTAGGCAGGTCCCCGAACTCTGTCAATTTTCCATTGGTCTCTGCCATATCCAGAGTGAGTATTGCTAATTTATTGCTAATAATCAAGTATCTATGTGGCTATATTTGCTTTTGTATGGATTAATGTATTTTTATTGAATATTACTTTCACTGTCAATATGTACTATATGGTGTGTGTGGTGTGTGTGTGTGTGCGCGCGCGCGTGGTGTGTGTGTGTGTGTGTGTTTGTGGGTGTACGTGTATGTGTGTATGCTACGATGGCGTGCCGCTTGCGCGCGTGTATGTAATGTTAGAAGCAAAGTTTTTGTAAAACAATAAACATTAAATTAATTTTTTTCTATAGTTCTCCATACCTCAGCTAGTTTAGCATTAAATGAAAGCTGGGATCCAGATGTGAGAGATGATATGGAAATGATGCTTAACAAAATAGTTCCTGAAGGCTTAGAGTATAGGCATAGCTGCGAAGGACCAGACGATATGGTAAGACAAAAAGAAAATGTTTTATTTAACAAAAATTTCTTTTTAGTAAATTTTTCTTTAGAAAAATAATATATTTTTAACATCTTTTATTTTCTGAATAAAACCATGATTATATAGAATAGTAAAATTTGTAGATTGCTGAATAATTATATATATTTTAAAAAATGTTCTTTTTTTCTATTAGATATTTTTTGATGTGATAATAAATGGCAATATATACTTTAATTTAGTAGACCATGTAAATAATGCAATTTATAAAAATGGATGTAGAAAATTTTTTATAAGAAAAAAGGTAATATATAATAAAGATATGTATGTAACACAAGTATGTTTAAGAAAGGTCTATAAAATTATATTCTTTCTTTAAAATTATATGTATATTTTTATATATTTATATATAATTTCAAAAAACACACACACACAAAATACAAATCTTAAGTAACTTAAAAGATTAAGAAGATAACATTGAATATTTCTAATGTTTCACAGCCAGCACATGTAAAAGCCTGTTTTCTGGGTTCATCATTAAGCATCCCAATCACCGATGGCAAGCTGGCGCTAGGCACATGGCAGGGTATTTGGTTAGGTGAACATCGTGATCACGCTGGTAGCCGTAAGCTGGTGATAACGTTGACTGGTGTCCTAAGGGATTCGGCGCGTAGTCCCCTCAGTCCTGTTAGTCCTATCGCTTCTACCAGCAGCTAGGACCACTCGCACCCCCGAAGGCGTAGCAAGCGTCAGCCGCGCGCGTCCATCTCGAGCGACTCGAGCTAGCAGCCGCTTTAAGCCCTAGTCAACTTTTAAGAGTACAATTTATTGAGGAGAAGTGAGCCGGATATCTCGCGGACTTACTATTGCCCGGAGATAGCCATCCATGGTTAGTGATTAACCATGTCCTCAACGTTTCACGTTAATCGTCAAATGGACAAATCAGGGATCGCGCATTGTTCAAGACTTCTGTGCGCACGTGTATGTGTTTCAGAATTTTATTTGTGTCTCACATCGTTCTATGGATATTTTTTTTACACGTATAACGAGCCGTTGGAGTTGTTGCAAATGTTTTCTAGAAGTATGATAAGATTTTGAATCTGGATATTACCTCTTGCAACTTGGAAATTCAGACTTCAAGTTAACTTTTTTGTATAAAGTTGTGTAAGAGACTACGTTAATATATAAAAAAATTTTACATCTCATTTAAAGATACAGAAAGTTGAATTATTTTAGAACGCTTTTTGTTTCAAAAAAATTTTGAAATCCGAGGAAATTTCTCATGGAAATTAGAGACATTGCAACAACTTGGAATTCGTTTTTACATTTCTTGTATTTTTTCTGGTATTTATTTCTTTAATTTGCATTAATCATACTGGACATCCGCGACATACAATAATAATAGTGTAGTAGGAATAATAATAAAAAAAGACAAATGGATAGAAAAAGATAGAGAAAGAGAGAAATGAAAAAAAACTGCCACGGCAGATGCGTGCATTGCATGCGTCTCATGTAAACAAAACGAATTAAACGCGAGTATCCAGCACTCTTCCACCTCGCTCTTGAAGAGAAAAGAAAACAAAAGGCGAGGAAGATATGCTCTGAGGAGAGCAATGGGGAAGAAAGAGAAAAGAACGAATCTGTGCATTCCAGTAACGCGTCCAATACTCCGAATTTATGTAGTCTTATTTAGGAGACTCTTTTGTATTAAAAAAAAAAGTTAACGAATATGAGCAGTTGTGCAGGGACTCACAGTATCCTTTTTTACACTGCTATTCCAAAATGAGAGACAAAGAGCTGAAAGAAGACGAGGATTACAAGAATAAGAGTATAAGGTACGCGTTGCGAAACTTTCTGACTCGCCGCTTTAAAAACGATTAGGAGCTAAATTAATTAATCGCTCGTAAATAATGATGTTTCCATCGCATTGGGGGTGTGTATATGTATATAAGGGGAAAAGACGATAATTCTCTACTTGTGCGCGTTTCCATTAAAGCTATAACGTATGTTATATCATGGGCACACATAGCGCGATTACATCCTACGTAAATTATAACGCGTAAATGCAGAATATAAAAAAAATTTGAGTATAAAAATACCATAAAAGAAAACTTTGCGAAAGAATTAGTAATGATGAAAGTACACATGATCTAATAATTTTTATTTATATATCTTATAAGTTTAGAATATAATTAATAGTTTAGAATTTAATCACTATAATTAAAGAGTTATCTCTATCTGTGAATCACATGTACAGTAGTATTACTGATCATTAAAAATTATCATTATCCTATGTCCGATTCATGAACAAATTATTTTTTAATTACAGTTTATAATTTGATGGAATCTTAAATTAAAAAAAAAATTACTTTGTATTACAAGATTGCATATATTTTTTGTTATTCAATTTATAAATTTTTCTACTGAAGTATCTTTATGCTCGAATTTTATAACACTCTGCAATGTTATTATATATTCAAAGAATTGATTGCATCAAATTACTTTTTCTTTTATTATTTTTATCACAGCAACTATATTGTTCCATCGAGTTGTGAAAAGCTCAATATTTTACTATTTTCTAACATTAAAAATTGTTATAAATTGCAAAATTAGATTATTTTATGTTATAAAAGGTGCAATTTAGTTTACTAGCACTAAAGACATTCTTCAATGAACAATTGGCGCAATTAATTCTTTCGATTACTAAAAAACCATTTGACCTGGTGATCATTCAAGTACATAAGGCATCGTTTTTAAAGGATTTAGCACTGCGGTAAATTGTAATGTTGGATTGTCGCAAAGATAGGTTTATAGAATCTTTTTAAATTTTTAGTTTTTGATCTCTCGCAAATGTGAAAATTTATAGTTACTTTCAGTCCTTAAATTTTGGATAGATATAATAAATATTTTGCATTTCCTTTTTTATTTTAAGAATCATTAGAAAGAAAAAAATTTGAAAAAAACTTGAATCTTTGCGACGAACCGACAGAGCTACTTACACTTACACGATATTATTAACTGATGCTTATTATGAGCTTGCTGCGTATCGAATGGACTGGCAAACAGACAGAACAGATGTTGTTTAGTCATTAATCCTCAACGTACATAGACGTGCAAAAAAAAACGCGTCCATTACGTGATTAAATGGACCTATGCTTTAATGTGAAGTACGTCTCTATCTATACAGTTCACATAGCTTAAAAAAAGACATTATCAGAGCTCAAAAATGAAATGTAATGTAATGTAATGTAATGTAATGTAATGTAATGTAATGTAATGTAATGTAATGTAATGTAATGTAATGTAATGTAATGTGATGTGATGTAATGATACACTGTCGAGGTTATCGTATGTGTCGCCCCTTCGAACATACGCAAAATGAGAGCATGGGGGAGACGAGGAGAAGATTCATATACGCAAAAGAAAAAAAAAACACATTAGGTCTTCGGTCTTCTCAGCGGTTCCTAGCGTGATCTCACGAATGTGATTTTAGGTTCAACAGCCAGCCAGTTTGTGGTTTAAGACAAAATAATTTTAATGTGTACGTATGCATATTGTAAATAATAACGGTTTGCTGAACTTAAAATAAGGATGCATTCTCAAGAAACATATTATGTGCGTATATTAAACGCAATCTGTAGGGGCCATGAACTTTTTGGTTTCGCGTATTTGCGAATTTCTTTTATTTGATTTCTTCAGCCACGTAATTTACATTTTTTTATTTCTACTATTATTTATGCATAACTTTTGAGTAAAGTTGAAATCTTTAAATTGATTTCTCAAATCAT